ATTGGTCGTGAACTTAACATAGAAAAGCACGTGTTCGTATCGGTTGCCCTTAATCAGTTTTCATAAAAACAGACAGAAACGACTAATTGCTGCAACGTAACGGTATTTAAGAGTTAACTAGTCATTAAAAAGTATATAATATCGGCATAATTGTAGTCATAAACAACTCTAATGAAGTCAAGTACTTCGCAGTGACAATAGCTATGAGTTTATTGCTGATGTAAAAACGTTAGTCACAGGTATGCGGGTATTATGTTCATTATCTAACATAACTAGGTAAGGGTCAAATTTTTTTCTTGTAGTATATTCAATATTTTTTCTATATCCTCTTCGCTAATAATTTTGACATTTTTCCCTATTGTTCGTCGTATTTATAATTTATACTACATTTTGTTTATGGACACAAACATACAAAAACTGACAAGAAGTGTCTGCACCTAACTAATAATGTATAATTAAAATTATTATGTAGAATCTACATACGCAAGTCATTTAACTTCAGTCCATCGAAACGTTTAAAGTCATAAGTGATTCCTGTTTTTACCGGCACGACGTCATAAACCCATTTTTAGCGTAGAAATAATAGAGCGGCTACACGCTAAATACGGATTAAATTTAGATTCTTGATTTGGCGGTAAATTTCAGGATATGCGCTTAAATGCACTGTTTGATATTCAAAATTGGAGCGAAAACAGAACGAAACTTCTAATTTTTTCAGGAAAAACTTCTTTCATACAGTTGTTTGATTTTTGATTGATATTTAATAATTTTTTAATCTGACGTCATCAACGTGGTGTTGGGGACATAAATATTTGTTATGGTAGATTCTGACATAATCCATCTATACGCTCTTAACAATTAACTGGTGATGAGTCTGGGAAAAATAGTAGAAAAAGTTTCTTCTCACATTTTGTTATAATGATTTTAGAATTGGTTCTTTAGCTACGTTTTACTAAACAACACATTCCTTATCACAATAACTAGTAATACAACTTTTAGTTAATATTTCTCTCTCCCATGACCATGTTTAATTACCATTTCAGATTGATATCATTGATAAAATTCCATTTGACAACAAAGTTTGTCTGAAAAAGCGAAGGTACAAATTAGCAAAAATCGAGTGAGCAGTTAAAAATCTTTGACATATCAAAAATTGCCAAATTTTTCAAAAACCTAAAAAAACAGTTAATTTTAGGTCCCCTGGTGTTTTATTTTAGGATAAATTTAGAGGAATCTGATGTTTTGTTGCTGGATGAACTTGAAAAATCTTGTGAGCTTCTGGTGTTTTATTTTTTATGAATCTGAACAAGCCTTGAGTGCCGCAGTGTTTTTTTTTTAATTCGAGACACTCTTGGACACCAATGGTGTATTATTTTGGCAGCCCATGGAGATTTTTTTTGTAAATGATTTAATTAATGTTTAAAACAATTTTGGGCAACTTGAGTGTTCTGTTTTTGGAAAAGTCTAACCTGACCTGTTTTTGAGTTAATTTTGAGACCCCGAAAAATTTAAAACAATCTTGAGATTCTAGGTATTCCTGTTTGGTAAGAATTTGAAAATGCTTTGGAGCCTCTAGTGTCTTTTCTTATAATAATTTAACTGAATTTCTTAGAGGATACGTCATTTGCTAAAATCAGTCTTATCTTAGCAGGTACTAGTCCCAGCCGGCCGCCCTCTATTTTCTTAGAGAATATGTCATTTGCCAAAATTCTTAACAGGTACTAACCCCACCCACTCTCCCTCTCTTTTGCTAGAGTGTATGTCATTTGCCAAAATTGGTCTTATTTTAGCAGGTACTAGCCCCGCCCATCCGCCCTTACTGTTCTTAGAGGATAGCTCATTTGTCAAAATCAGTTTTGTCATAGCAGATACTAACCCCGCCCACCCGCCCTCTCTTTTTTTAGAGGGTATGTTATTTGCCAAAATCAATTTTATCTTAGCAAATACTGATGACTAACTTTTACAAAAAATGATCAAAATTTGGAAACATTACGAGCTTACTTATATGAACAAAGCAGGAATTTTGAACATCTTCTCTAGTGTTTAGTTGGTTATGCTTTCATGAATTTTTCTTTTATTGGTTTTGTTTTTCTTTATAGTTTATAAATGTCTTATTAAATGATTATTTTTTTTGGTTTATTTATTAATGAAAAATAACAGTTTGTTTGATTGATAATCCACAACGACTAATGACTACTGGTTGTTATGGTTATTGTTCTAAAAAAAATAAAAGATGGGTTTCAGTCACCCTCGTTACTAAGAAATCAGAAAGTAAGCCGGAGGTATTCACGCATAAGGTGCGTGCAGTGTTGCCAATTTTACTTTTATAAAATTATGATTTTTTCGTAATCTACATCATAAAGAATTTTTTTATAATTTTTTAGGACTCCCGAGACTCTTATTGTATATAACGTACTGAAGAGTTAATTCGCCATTTTCCAGACACCCGGTATATCTTATTATTTTTTTGAAAATCATACATTTTTTTAAACGTATCAGAAACTGCTTAAAATTTCGTCGTAATTACTTCCCGACACATAGTACGTATTCTAGAGGTAGCACGCTCGTTCCGTAGATGAGAGGTCCGGGGATCAATACCGGGCCGCAGTTTTTTTTATTGATCAAATCAAGAATGGTTCATCCTACTTTTCCAAAATTTGAACACTTCTTTAAACTGGTATATGTAAATGTCCTTGCCAAAATGTTGATAACTTCATAACACAACTTCGTTATGGAAAACTTTTTTAGTTGTAGTTTAGCAGTCCACACAAAGCTTTGTTTTAACTTGTACGGGCTATCATAAATAATAAAATTCGCAAAATTAAATTGTAATTGTTCCAATGTACTTCAAGGGATAGAGCGCAAGGCTATTTTAGCAAGGACACGTATGTCAATTCCGACACGTTCAGTGTAATAGTAATAAAAAAAAAATGGTAAAAAGGTTCTTTTGATAGATAACTTATCTGGTCCTCGAAGTGCAATCTAACAATACTCGACTTTTTCAAAAATTATAAAATTTGATTTTGCGAAATTTATTTGTAATAACCGAATCCGTAAACCACAATTTCAGTAATATTCCATTTTATAATACTTCTTACAATGAAAAATTTGGAGAAGACGTCATTACCTTGTTGCTGGGGATGATTAGAGAATTTTGGTCAGCGTGTTAGCATTTACACGCTTATAAAATTTGACAACAATCGGGCTGGTAGTTTCGGAGTTTATGGATCTAACGAAAATCGAATAGACAGACGAAAACGGGAGATATACTTTTTCTTACTCTTGGGAGTCATGAAACTTTGAGAAAATCAATACCAATAACTGGAAACGTCGCCAGGGATCAAACCGGGCCTTTTATTTGCAAATAGGGCGCCCTTTCACAGGTCTGAATCATGCTTAAGTAGCTAAGAAGGTTTAAACAATAAAAGTTATAATAATAATAAACAAAAACAAAGCGGATTTATGAAGCACAGCTACAGGAATATATAATTTTATAAAATTGAAATAGCGTTTACTACGCAAAATTTTTATATGACGTCATTACATGAAACAAATTTTAGTTACCATCGACACGATATTTCTAACAAACATATAAAATTTGACAATAATCGGTTCGGCAGTTGCGGAGATTATCTGCCTAATAAAAAGCACAGAGACAGCAGACAGACGGCAGATGGCAAACAAACAAATAGACAGATGGAAACGGGAAACTTATTGTTTCGTATTCTAGGGGTAGTTTAAAATATTATCTCTCTAAAAATTATTTGAATGAGAATCAAAACAGGCGACAAAACACAGAGGCCAGATGGCAGACAGACAGACAGACGGAAACAGGAGACCTAATTTTTCTTATTTTTTAGTATTAAAATCGATTTAGATTGAAATTAAAAAAAAATAAAATAGGATTTTAACACGAATAGATCCATAATGACAATTTATTTAACTGGTAGTAAGTAGTTACAATTTGCCTGAACAATATTATTATGATAATTAATGAGATTTAATTTGGTTTTACCATCTCCGAGACACTCTTATGATTTTAAAGCATTGGCTTCGGTTGGATGCTAAATTGTGGTACCGTATTCGTTCTTATCGAAAATGAAAAACATGTTTCTACTACACAAGAGCGCAAAAAATAATAAGTATAATGAAATCCGGTGACACAGCCTGCATGCATAATCTGCACAAGGAATTCTTGTCCTGGAAGTGTTCCGCCCGGAAACATTTATTTATTAAAAACAAAATTATTTTTACCTCTTAAGAAACAGATTTGTTACAACCGCAACAGTCCTTTGTGTCTACTGAAATGATCTAACCTGACGTTTTTTTTAATTTGCTTTGGTTAAGATTTCCATAGTGTGAAAAAAGAGAAAGATCGATCAAACAAGTGAAAATATATTGACAGTTAGAAGACGCGATAATGCAAGAGTGCCTACAGGTGTTAGACATTGATTAGTGATCACCTGTTGTCTTCATTATAGATGAAATTATACACCCGGCCCTTATTCCCTTGTATGAAACAGAGGTCATTTTAGTGTTTTTTATAAAACATCATAGAAAACAACTGCGATAGTTCGTTACATTAGAGCAAAAACACGAAAGACGCCATGGCCAGCGCGTTTCTCCGACCCGTACCCTATCGAAAATGTATGGAACATTCTGGGTCATCGATTGCTACAAGTGTCCCGTCCTCTTGAGATTTTAGATGAGCTATCAAATCATCTAGAGATACCGTGGGATGACATACAACACAAGAATGTTGACCACTTCATTAGGAAGTGCCTGCTAACCGCAATGGTACCAGTAGTTTTTTCTGGTAGTTGTACTCTTTTCTTTCAACTCTTTCCACTATAAATACTTTGAATAACTTTCGACCTTAATAATTAATAATTGTGCATTATTTTTTTATACAGAAGTGGTTTTACTCCGTTTTTTATTAACTCCCCTCGTAAACCGATGTTGCGTGGATATAACATACATGTAATCGCAATGTTACTTACTTGTAGGCAGCCGCACCAGCCGCGCTTGGACCGCACGGCCGGCATGGCTGGTATATGGAATCGAGGCAGGGCGTTAGTTATATTTTCCCACGCAGGCAGTTTGAGTGAACACTTTGGTAACCCCTGAAACAAAAAAAGAAAGTCTGTCAATGAGGAAATTCCAAAAACACGTTGATCGATTGAACAATACTGTTGTCAGCACGCCCTTCTTTTTATTTTATTAAACTGGAAGCATGTCATTATCGAGAAAGCCTTTGGGCGAAACATAGAAACCTACTAAACGAAACAATGCGTAAATGAGGGAAATTGTCATTAGATACTTAAAAATACACCCTATAACCTCATTGTGCTACAGGAAAACGCACTTCCACCATTAGTGCAGCTAATCGAGCTAGCGAAAGTGCTGTTGTGCAGTCTCATCGCGAAAGTCACAAATGTAGGAATCTAGGATGTGCTTAAATTATTTAAATTTATTTAAGTTGCTTTACTTATCGACAGTTTTATCTGAACGTACAATGGAAGTGTTAATGGTTGCAGTAATGCTGTTTCTTTTTTTCAGCGTCGCCTTAACTGATTATTAGATATTTTCTCTGAATTTATGACTGAGATAGGCATCGATAGAAATTCTAACATAAAATGAGTTAGGTAAGTGGGCGTGCGTTTCCAATGAAAATATAGAATCGCAAATCTTGTTGAAAAGCCTTGTAAATAATTCACGTGTCAAACAACACCTGGTTTTATCTCTTCGTAATTACAAAGGTTGTAAAAATACGTCTTAAACGGCATGTTGCTTACAAAATAAAAAACAAAAACACGACCGGACTATTTAAATCGTAGACGTGTGTTAATAACATCTAGGCTACTTAATAGCTGCTTGTATAAGTGTTCTTAATAGAGATAAGCCAACGCAATTTTAATGAATGGCATAGGCGTGAAAAACTTGTAAGAGACAAACATGTTGTATACGTAATATTTGTAACTAGACTAATGTAAATCTGATTGTCGTTCTTTCTGAATGAACACAAAGGATTTCCATTTCTGTAGCATCCTTTAACAAGTTTCTTTCACCGCATTTAGATTGCACCAGAATTCGTTTTGGAGTAACAACCGAGACTGAGTCTAATTTTTGCCTGTAATTAAAGTATTGGAGAGAAACACAATAACAGCAGATGAACAGCAAAAAAACTACAATAGAAAATAAAATGTGGCAATTAATTTTAAATATTTATATTAAAGTAAGTAAGTAAACTACACTGTAGCAGCACAGATTAGAATCAGGTTCTTTGATCTTTTTTTAGTGAATTATTTTATAGATTTTTTGGATGCACATGATTCTGTTTCACTTTCTGCTTTCACCATTTTTGTAGTGCGTACTCTATTAGAGACATTTTTCCAATGTTACAGGTATTTCTGTGTAATATTAAATTTATTATTTTTTAATGAAACCATAAATTTATAAGCTAGAACACAAAAATTATATGCCATGATTTATTTTCAATTTAAAGTGACTAAATTCAGATAATCTGTCTTCACAACATTTTTAACATCACCTAATCCTTGTTTTGTATTCGCAGCAAGAACGCAGCAATCATCACCAGTTTAAAAGGTGAACATGGGATTAAGATAACAATCAAGAATAATTTACAGACAGCTTAATGTAAACATAGGTTATAATTAACCAACTCTCTTAATTTTTGCAATATGGTTTTAGTTACTCTTCTGTCATCATTATTTAATCCAATGTATTATTCTTTCATTGTAGGAAAGCAAACACCAATATCTCTATAGAAAGTTCTGTATATGTTTACATTTGCAATAAATATTGGTTAGGTTGTGATATTTCCAGTGACAAATTTTTAGTGTCAGCTAAATTTGTAAAATCCAAATAGAATCATACTAGTTTTTCTTTTTTCTTTTTTCTCAAAATATATGTATTAGTTAGGTTTATATACTATGAACCGCCATAAAATGAATACTATTATTTGTCACTAGGAAAAAATTGATCGTATGTTATTAACTTATTAGATAAAACTTTCCCCACCCTTGAAGTAGGTACAATTAAATAAATACAGTTGATTATAAAAAACAACACAGATAATGACAACTTGTTTTTCTGAATACAATAATATATCATATTTTAATTAGTCATACTCCGCTACTGTCTTTGATTCGAACTCATTTTGTTACGAAAACACATTCTGCAGTTTGTTTGTATTTGGTCTGGCGCGGAGTGTCAGTTCGCACTTCTCCACCGACGATAGAATACGGAAACTCGGTTAACAATTACTCCAAAAATATTAATGCATTAATAATATGTTCCTAGCCAGAAGTGGAGTGTAATAGTAATAATAAAAAAATTGGTCGACGGTCATTTCAACAGCACTCTGAAAAATTAAACAATTTGATTTTAAGACATTTTATTTGTGATAATAATAAAATCAGGCGATATCGACGCCAGCCCGTTGGAATCGTCATTTTCAGTGCAGCTTATATTACAAAAGGTTGTTAAACAGTTTCGAATTTTGATGGTTAGGGTAAAAATCAAGGCGGATTCATAAACCACAAGTACAAAAGAATGTTTGTTATTGTGATTTAAGATATTATATGAACGCCAAACCTTATATAAAACACAAGGTAAAAGTGTCTTCATAAAGCATGGCGATTTTCTGTCTTGAAGGGGGATACGTTTCGATGAATAATCTTCACTTCTGTAGTAAAAGTATCACTTTTACCTCTCGTTGCATAAAACACTAATTAATGTATTGCTGCTGTAGCAATTATGACGAGTCGCTAGACTCATGTAAGTTGTTTTTCCGTTATTATTTAGGTCGCTACATCAAAGTGTCAGTCCTGTTAAGTTAGAACTAATAAGAAAACTAAAAAGTCTAGTTTTTTCCAAAAATTATAAAATTTGAAAAATAATTATAATACAACTCACAGTCTTAAAAACATCTTTCGGTCAATCATTTATCCTACTCATTTGATCCAGGAGCGAGATATCGGCTACATGAATCACGTGTAAAAATCAAGGCGGATTTATAAAGCACTGATATAGGTGTATATTATTTCATAAAATTTAGATAACCTTAACAATGAAAAATGAAGGGGCGTCATTTCATAGGAACATCGAACTTTCCAATACGCTCTAAAAGTGGTTAATAAAAAATTATTTTAGAAAACTGTGTTTGTTGTTTGTTAAAATCTTTGCTTAAAATAAGTTCAACTGACTATTGTAATCTGTTTTCACACTATTATATTTGGTTCAAGTTTTCTTTTTCATTTTTTATTCACTATAGTTTGACGTGGAACATTTAATTTAAGGCGAGTCGGTATCTTGGCTTTTATAGAGTTTTCGAAACATTTTCAGAATGTAATACCTCCATTATTAACAGTTTTATTACTATGAAATTTTAAATACAACTTTCTCTATATACCGCAAAGGCTATTTTTAAAAACAGTTTATCAATAAAGGTATCACAAAAAATGGTGAAGTGGTGGCCAACATTTATCTGTTCATTCCATCTAAAAATGAATATTTAAATAAATCGCTCAAGTTCCTTTATCTGTATTTTAACAGTTCATCTCTACTTTTAAGTTTACGTGCTTTTAGAATCTACAGAATTATCTGAAATTATGAACATTTGGTATTATACCGGGTGTCTGGAAAATGGAAAATGTGCATTCTTATTAATAAAACAAGCTGTTATTGTTCATTAATAAATAAACCAAAAAAAACATTTAATAGGATAAAATTCCTGCTTTGGTAATATGTATAAGTAAGCTCGTAATGTTTCCAAATTTTGATCATTTTTTGTAAAAGTTAGGCATCAGTACTTGCTAAGATAAAACTGATTTTGGCAAATGACATATCCTCTAAGAAAAGAAAGGGTGGGTGGGCGGGGCTAGTAGCTGCCAAGATAAGACTGATCTTGGCAAATGAGATACCCTCTAAGAAAAGTGAGGGTGGGTGGGTGGGGCTACTACCTTCTACGATAGAACTGATTTTGGCAAATGACCTACCCTCTAAGAAAAGGAAGGGTGGGTGGGCGGGGTTAGTAGCTGGTAAAATAAGATCGATTTTGGCAAATGACATTCCCTCTAACAAATTTAATTAAATTATCATATGAAAAGAGACGAGTGGCTCCAAAGCACTTTCACATTCTTTTCAAACAGGAATACTTAGAACCTCAAGATTGTTTTAAATTTTTCAAATAAGAAAACTGGGTCTCAAAATTAACTCAAAAATAAGTCAGGTCAGAATTTTTCAAAAATAGAATACCAAAGTTCGCCAAAATTGTTTTAAATAATTTACAAAAAAAGCTCCATGAGGTCCCAAAATAATACACCATAGGTGTCCAACTGTCCAAGAGTCTCCCGAATTAAAAAAAAAAACAGTGCGGTACTTAAGACTTTTTCAAATTCACAAAAAATAAAATACTAATAGCTGAAAAGATTTTTTCAAGTTCATACAGCAACAAAACACCAGATTCCTTTAAATTTACCCGAAAATGAAACACAGGGAACCTAAAATTAACTGAGAACATTTTAAACGTAGGGTTTTGAAAACTTTGACAATTTTTGATACTCAAACATTTTTAACTGTTTACTCGATTTTTGCTGATTTGTACCTTCGCTTTATATCGGACAACCATTGTTGTCAAATGGAATTTGATCAAATTATTACAAAAACAACACAACCATATCTTTGTAAAAGTTGTATTACTAGTTATTGTGATAATGAATGTGTTGTTTAGTTGTTAAACGTTGCAAAAGAACCAATTTTAAAATCATTATAACTCCACCAAAATGTGAGAATGTTAAGAACGTAGTGAAGAGTTAATCCGACACCCGGTATAGATCGATCGATCGATCGATTATGTCAGAATCTACCATAGCAAATATTTTTATCCCCAACACAATGTTGATGACGTCAAATTAAAAAAATAATTAAATACATTTTGTGTGAAAAATTAGCCCTAGAAATTTTTTGTGCTTCACAGGTAAGAAAATATTGCCTAAATCAACAAGCATGTTATAAAATTAATGACATCTACTCTATAAATCGTAAACATGTTGCTCATTATTTTGAATGACAACACGGCAACTAAATAGCGTACAGATTC